CCCCAAGGCCTCACCACAGCCTCCCAACCGGGCAGTGCAACTCACTTTCAATAGAGTTGTTATTCAGGTAGAGGTGCTCCAGCTTGGGGCTGATGAAAGGGACGTTGGTGAGCTTGTTGTGGGCCAGGTGCAACACCAGCAAGTTGGTGAGGTTGAAGGAGTTCTTGGGGAGCCCCTTGTCGGAGATCTGGTTGTAGTTGAGCCGGATGAATGCCAGGTTGGGGAACTCCTTGAAGTAGTCACTGGGGATATCCTCAATGTTGTTCCTGTCCAGGAAGAGCTGGTGGATGGCACTGGGTACCCCGGGGGGCATTTTCCTCAGGATGTTGTGGGCCAGATTGAGTTGCATGAGGTTCTTGAGTCCCTTGAAGGTGTTTTTGTTGAAGACCCCATCGCTTAGCTTGTTGTGGTGCAGATCCAAGAGCACCAGGTTCTCCAGCTTGTTGAAGACGCCAGCAGGGATCTTGGAGATCTGGTTCCTGCTCAGACGCAGCTGCTCCAGGTTGGGTGGCAGGAAGGAAGGCACCTCCTTGAGCTGGTTCTTCTCCATGTAGAGGAAGATGAGGTTTTCCAGCTTCTCCAGGACCCGCCTGTCCACCTTCCGGATGCGATTGTTGTCTAGGTTGACCCATTTCAGCTCTGTGGCGTTCCTGAAGGACTCCTCCGGGAGATCATCGATGAAGTTGTTCTGGAGGTAGAGGTAGTGGATGCGGGATGGGATGATGGGGACCTTCCGCAGGTTGCGGCTGTCACAGTAGAGGGCGGAGGGGAAGTCTGGGGGGCAGTAGCATTCTCGGGGGCAGTCTGGAAAGATGGAGGGGGGGCCTGGTGGTAGGGGTGGAGGCAGCTCTGTGGGCTCGACGGGCTCAATGAACTCAGGAGGCGGGCGGGTGGGTTTCCTTGGAGGCTTCCTCCGCTGCCCGCTCACCTCCGAGATCAGCACAAGAACAAGCGGGAGAAGCAATCTGAAGGCCACCTTCATGGTCCAGATGTTTCCCTGAGGGAGGCAACAAGAAGAGGTGGGCTAGGAAGTGCCCAATTTAGGTACCGCATCATCTCCCATCTTCCCCATCCCTGACAGGCAGGAATTTACCCCACATCATTGCCAGTAACCTGCTATTTTCTCTCCTTTCCTTTGGAAGTTATCTTTAAATCCAACCCTTCTCTACAGCATGAGTCACCGAGATCCCCTCTCTCTGGCTCAGCTTTATGCCATGGGTGGGGGGAGTGTTGGGTTTTTTTTCATTTGGTTTGGGTTTTTTTTCACACGCCGCCCCCAGCATTGCCCTGTTCAGCCTGCCCGCCGCCCACCCCAGGAGCCCCAACACCACTGTACCCTCTCCCCAAAGGATGGATTAGGTTTAATTTTGCACTTGAGCCAAAAAAAATCAACGATTCAGTAGCAAATTGGCTGCGCAACAGTATCAGGAGGCCAGCAGCAGTTAGCGGGGCAGCAAAGATAGATGGCCCTGTGCTTCAGGGACAAGGCATTAACGCAGGACAGCCCATTTTCAAGGCTGTGTGAGAAAACGGGCATTTTGCAAGACTACTCATGGGTAATACTGCGGATGTTTGGCTATACAGCTCCTCGTGCTGCCCAAATAACCCATCCATCACCTCCAATCCCACTGCAGGATGCTGGGCTGGTTATTTGGCGAGAGTCCCAGTGGAAATGGGAGATCCGGAGGGATCAGACAAGGTCTCTGCTTGCCCCTAACCAGAGAGTTTCTCCTGGATACGAGCCCAACACCTTATACATAACTACCTCTCCCTCTTCTCTGGGTTGTTATCAAGCCCATGAAGGCTGCCAGTCCCATCTCTGCCCTCCCTGCTGCTGCCTGGAACAGCAGCCATAGTCCTTGCAAGACTGCTGCTGGTAGCTCTCCAGCTGATGCCTTGGGGGATGGAGGGATCTAGATTGTTGCAGACAAGCTCCCCAAAGCCCTGTGCAGAAGGTGCTTTGGATGCTCTGACGCTCCCCAGGGCCAGCTGGAGCAGATCAGGCTGTGGGTTTCCTGGGCTGATACCTTGGGGCGTTCGCCAGGCTATTCCCGGCGGCACTTGTCACCCCAGCAGGAACAGAGCTGAGCTGGATGCGTGGCGAGGCAGATGGAGGAGCTCAGCAGAGGCAGGGTGGGAAAGAGAATGAAGTGAGATGAGACAGGGCGGAAGACAGGGAGGAAGATGAAGAGTCTCCAAGGAAGATGGATCTCCTGGGGAAACGGAACGTCTGCTGTGGGAGCCAGCGCTGCCGGGACTGGAGTGTGGGGCAGAAGCCTTGAGGTGGTGACGCTGATGCTGGAGAGAAATCAGGCTCCCCCGGCTCATTGCTCTCTCCCATGCAACACGATAGCAGAGCTCACAGCTTGCCACTGCACGGCACTGCCATTGTGGCCACAGGGCCAGGGGCATCCGTGCCACGGGCACAGCCAGCCCCAAACAGGGGCAGCGGCAGCAAACAGGCAGAGCTGAGCTGGACACGTCACGTTTGTCTTTGGCCAGCGGCTGGGAAATATCCCCAGCCCTCATCTGACCAGCACTGCTGGGGTAACCCCCCGCCACACCAACCCCCTTTTGCTTCCAGCTGCCCAACGGGGGTCCGCATCCCACCCAGGGATGCCCTTAAGGCCCCTCGGTGGGCCACTGCTCCCCGGGCTGCGCCAGCCCAGCTCCCTTTGAAGCGATCCCACGCATTCCTGGGGCTCCAAGTAATTGACTTTCTCCAAGAAAAGATCCTGTTCTCGCCCCCCCTCCAGGCCCAGCCTGTTACTTTCCTTTTTGTCTCACTCCGCTCCCATCTGGCTCTGTTTAACCCTACGAGCCTCACATGCCTGCTGTTTTCAATCAGAGCTCTGGCATCTTGCTGGGGGAAGGGAGGAACAAGGGAAGAGCAATGGGGCCCGAATGCTGCCAGATATTCAGCTCAGCAGTGCTGCAGTAAGTCCCCTTTGGGGATGTACGTGCGTGCTTCTGTGTTGTAAGAGTTCAGATTCAACGGCGGGCTGCAGAGAACGGGCGAATTCGTGACAGGGAGCTGCTCTACGTGCAGTCCCCTCCCTGGCTCCGCAGCACCCTGCTCCTTTCCCAGCCACGTCCCTCCCTGCACGTGGCTCTCCCCCCAACCTTGTCCCAGACCTTTCCATGGGTTTTTGCCTCTGCTCCAAAACTCAGACCTGGATTTTAACACCCAGGGGGGCGACGGGGGCTGAAGTCTGCGTTTGGCCCATTGCAGAGGGGAGGAGGCAGCTGGGAGCCGATATTCCAGCCAAGACACGGGCGCTCGCGGGGTGTTGCTCAGCTTGGGCCACCCAGCAGCCGCCACGGGCAATGTCACAGGGAGGGTGGGGGACAGGGCAGAGCTGTCACCCCATTGCTCTCAGGTTCTGGCCAAGCTCTCAGCCCTTCCAGAGTCCTGCGCAGCCTGTGCCATCCCCTTCGCATGAGGCTTTAACGCCGCAGATGTGTAGGGACTCGGCATATAGCTGAAATAGTCAGCGAGCCAGAAATTCAGGCTGGAGAGCAGCAGCATCATGTGGCATTTCTCATAACAGAAGGAAAGTGTCATGAGGCAGATGCAGCCCCTTGTATCCGCCTGCAACCCACGGCTGGTCCCCCCACGGGGACTGCCACAGCCCCCCTGCCCCTCGCAGCCTGGCAGAGCCAGCACTGCCACCACCCTTCTCCGCTGCAGCTCCCCGTGGGGGCTCTGCCCACCCTCCCCAGCTCGCTCCGGGAAAGCAGGACCCAATTCCAAACAATCTGCAGGAGACCAGCTCACAGCCAGCGGTCTCTGAAAGCCCTGCATCCAGAATAACGGGGGTGCAACAAACCTGGGGCCACCACAAGCTCTACAATTGCCTCCAACACGCTGGAAGGTTGAAAGCCAGCTCTCTCTGGAACCCGACACAGTCGGCAGTCTGTTCTCCATCCAGTTTCATGCAGTTGAATTTACTGGCGTGAATGCAAGAAGACAGATTTCAAAATCCCACACCCTGATTCTGCACGAGCACCGGCTGCCGAATCCGCGGCCAGAGCCATGGCACAGGGCCCGTGCTGCAAATGTCGCCGCTCGACCTTTCTCACCACTCCCCGACGGGCAGGACAGCTCGGGTCCCGGGTACCCACAAGGAATCCGTGCAACTGGAATAAAGTTAAATCATGAAGCAATGAATTCATCCAGGAAACCAACCACCTGGTGTGGAGAAAAGGCTCGATTCATGGATAAAAACAGTTCAGCCACCTCCTGAGCTGCAGGCTGGGCTGACCAGCTTGGCTTGGGTGCAAGACCAAGGCACCCAACAGATGCCAGCCCAGGGTTTTTCCCAGAAAGAGGCAGCTGCTCCCTCAGTCACCCCATTAAAATTGACAAAAATTCGGCACAACAGCTGGAAATTCCAGCCCCAAATGCCATTCGCGTTTGCTTTCCAAGTCGTTTATCTGCGCTGCATCTCGCTAACCCACAGCTCCCAAGCAGTGCTCCCTGCCAGCCCAGCGACGGGTGCCAAGGGCAGGCAAAAATTACAACCTCCGGGGCAAGACTGAGCTATGTAAAGGTCACGAGGGGATTTGTCACGGGCAGAAGTCCCGACGCTCTGCCTTGGGTGCCTCCGGCCCTCCCCACCTCCTCTTGCAGCAGTTAGACACACAGAGAGCCGCGGCTGGCTCCGGGCAGCTGTCATGGATGTGTCTGGGACCCCTGGTCCTACGGAGGGGCTGGGAGGGCTAAAGGGAGCTTTGAGCTTTGGGAGGAAGGGGGAAATCCCAGATGGCTGGACCGGGGATCCTTCCCAGCCCGTTGCCCACAACCCTGCTAGCTCCCTTCACAGCTTTCCCACTGGGACCCCCAATTCCCATCGTCCCTCCAGCCCCCAGGCTGGAAAATGTCCCCACCCAGCCTGGAAACCTGCACGTTGGAGCAGAACAAGGAGATCAAGCTAAAAATAACTGAAAGGAGCTAGCAAAGCTCCCTCGTGTCGGCTTCCCTCGTGCCCAACCGCCTCAAGAACCCGTTCGTGTCTCTGCAGGAGTCTGGGTCTGATCAGCTGTAACTAAAACAGGGAGTTCTTTATCCAGAGCTGGCAATGGTGGAAAAGTGCTAAATACAGTGCTAGGCTGTCCTCGGAGGGGGGGCAGACACGCTGTCACCCAGGCATTCCCAGCGTCCCATGGGGAGCTGAGCCCTGATGCAACAACCCTCTCTTCTCGCCCTTTCCCAGCACTTTCCCAGCGAGAAGCGGAGACGCAGGCAGCGCTCGGCCGGGCTCGGGGCTGGCTCACCGCCGAGCCCCCCGCTGCATTTCTTCTTGTGTGGGTACTGCTGTGTCCACGCAGGGGATGGGTGTCTCAGGAGACCCTGCCGGAGAGCAGCTCGGACGCACTCCTGGGCTCTCGAGAAACACTTTTGGGCTCAGCCCAAGGATTGCAAGACATGGAGACGACAATGCCCGGCTCCTGCGTCCCTCTGCGTGCCAGGAGCGTTTCCTCACTGTACCACAGTCACCAGACTCATTGCGAAAGGCTCGTCGCGTCCACAGCAACCTCCTCCCGCAGCGGGGTCTGTGGGAAGGCAGCCCTGGCAGAAAACACCTTCCTGCTGCCTTCTCGGTGTCAGCAATTCCTCCCTCCTCCTCCCTCACTGCATGTCCTGACCCTTCCCAGGGCTGCTCCCGGCTCAGCTCACCCGCAGACCTCTCTGCCACACACCGTGGAACTGGCTGGACACAGAAAAAAGCAAATCGTGGGAGAAAATGTTGCCAAAGCAACCGCAGCCCTGCCCCTGAGCCTAGCCCCCACGCACACCCTGCTCCCCTCCGAGCAGACACCTCACCTTGGTCCCCCCCGGCTCTAGGGCTGGGAAACTGCTCCAATGCTTTATCAGCCTCATCCCTCCCCTCCAGCCTCTTCCCAAGGGCAGAGGAAACCTCCCACAGCTGCACTTTTTTCTCTTCTCAGGTTGAAGCACGCAGCCGCTGGCTCCCCAGGGGAGCGGGGACACCCCACATTTCCCCTCCGCGCTGCCTGGCCCGGGCTGGCGGAGGACAGGGTGCTGCTGCCTGCGAGGCAGCTCCGGCCGAGCACCACATGAGGCCGGCCCACGATCCCAGGCTCCCAGGATAGTTTCCAAGCCCTCATGTGCCACATGCTTTGCGTTCAGCTGCCAAGGGGATGAATTTTCACTTTCTGTCCTGTAGATGCTTTTCCTAAAGCTCTCGAACAGACACGGAAAACGGGAGAGGGGGGGAGGTTTGGGGATGATGTGCAAGCAAACCCTTTCCCCAGGATTTCAGCGAACGTCGCTGCCCTGTTGCTTCCTCCCATCATGTCCAACCTCTGCCGGAGCAGAGACAAAGAGCCGGCTCCGAGGGGGACGCACAGGGCAGCTCTCCCTGCGGGAAAGAGCCTGCCTGGAGTGGCGCTGGCTGGGATCTCGGCGGTGCCGGCAGCAGAAGTGGTGTTACACGCCCTGGGACTGGTCTGGGTGACCCAGGCACGGCTCTGCCCGCCGGGCAGGAGAGAAGGGCTTTACCACCTACATTTTGGGCAGAAAACCAGCTTGCTGAAGCATCGAGGTGCTGTGGGGCTGCTCTCTCCCACCTCGCTCTGGAAGCAGCACGATGCTGGTCCCTTCCGCGGGGCAGGGAAACTCCCTGCTCCCCACTCCGGCACACAGCCCCCCTCCCACGGGAGCAGGA